TTTAATTGATATAGCATTTTGTACAAAATATTTGCCAAGTGTTGATATAAGCAAAATATTAAAATATGTTTAAAATTATTAAAATACAGGTCTGTAAAAATTTTGAGCAAACTGAATTTTTTTTCCTAAATGTATGTATAACATAGAAAATAAAATAGATAAACATGACCAATTATTTTGTTATTAAGGGAAAAAAATATCAAATGATGCAGACAAAATATTGAACTTTAATATTATGCAAATACCAATTTTTATAAATTATTTATTTCATTTAGAGAAAATTTGCAAGATAAACAAGTAGAGGATTTTTTTCTTTTACTTCAAAGTCTGTTTTCTTTTTTTCTTGGGTTTCATAAAAAAAAAAAAAAATCTTATTAAGATTGCATTAACTGACTTGGCCACTCCTATCTACCACTAAACACAAATACAGCTTTTAATAAATATGCATCAACTTCTAAACTGGGAAACACCCTTAAAACATATAGCCAAGAGACTAATATACCACTCTGCCAACAGTAGTATGCTATTGGATAAAAGAGAGAGAATAATTCTCAATTTCTACAGTTTGACAAAGGTGCCTAGGTATTTTTTGCCAGGAATCTACAGCAATAATGAACTACCAATACAAATTAAATACCAAAGTATTTTTTTTGCTTAGTAACATACAATATACTCCACTTTTTGGGGATGTACTGGAGTCTGAGAAAGTTGTATTTAAATTTGAAAAGAGAGTATGCAATTTTCAAAAGTTCACTTTAATGCCAAGTAATGCTTCATTATTCGTTAGCTTTTTTATAACTTTCTTAAATTCCTCATGACTTTGTTCATTATTGCTTACATTTGGAGGCAGATTTTGTAATGCTCAGATGTATATGATCTATTTCTGTGGGCATATTCAGTTTAGAGTGGCCCGGGTTGGAATGTGCCGCAATGTTATTTTTGAGGCCAAGATATTTATTCTGTTGTTTTTGATTATATGATGTTACTGGGATTTTTCACCTTTCTTCCACATTTTGACACAGTCTATGCTATTTGGCTTAATTAATTTGGTTTCCAATTTTCCAGAGATATTTGTTTCTCACAGCATTAAGTAGTTTGTTTTTTCCTTTGTTTAGTATCCTCCTTACCATTCTTGTCTCTCATATCAATCCTTTCAATATTGACTTAAATGACTACTTAGCTGATTATTATGAAAAACATGGAATAACAGCTTAATTATATTTTGTGTATTATTATCATTATTATCATTATTATTAATGTCCAGGAATTCAGATTTATTCTGAGTAGAACTTGTGAAAAACGCAAGAAAAGATTAAAAATAAAACTAAATTATACAAGCACAATGCAATGAGACCTAGCATTGAATGACCCAGGATTGTGACCTTGTGCTGCACTGGACACCCCAAAACTATAGTAACCTTGTGTGAACTTTGTAAATCTATACCAAAGATTGCATTAGAGTAGAAGTAAGACAAACTCATATTGCAGGTCAGTGTTGGTGAGTTAGATTCACACTAAGATAACCATTGTTGTAGCCTTGTGAGAGACAAAGCTAATCTTCATCAAATCTCAACAGCAGGACATTTCAAAAGATGTTCAGCAAGCTTGTCTAACAAGTCATTGTTATTAAATTTCTTTCTTATTGGGTGCTCAACTAGTATACATCACTTCTGACAAACTCAGTACATGAATCATCTGTGACAAACTCAAAGTGGAATAAAACAAACTTTGGATAAAGATCAAGAGGAGAAAGCAATGAAAAAGAAAAACAATACCAGATACAGATCCAGTGCCTTCTCACTCTTTGGAGGAACTCCAACCTGATTGACCATGTTTTTAGGAGTGTAGCCATGCTTGGCCAAATGCAAGTTGATGAGTCTACTTAACTCATAGTTGGAGATTTTGAATTGTCCTTTTAGACTGGTCGCCACCTAAGTCTATATGACCCAGTTTAGACTGTTATTTAGCCATAGCTGGGGGATTAGAGAAGAGATGGATTCATGCCTTCCCCACATAAGTGAATGCAACAAACTCAACTCTCCAATTTCTCAATCTGAGCTGCTATCCAGTACCTCAACTGTACCTCTAATTTCCAATGAAGTAAAAAGAATAACAATAAATTGCTAAAAAAGGAATCCTAGGACTGGCAACTAGGTCCCACTGTTTTACTGTTGAAATAGATGTAACCACCACTTCTACTCTAACAGTTTCTTTTCTTGCACTTCCCACCCCTGGAAATCCCTGCTAATTTCTTTCTTCCCTGATAACTACAATCTTCAAAAATTTAAATGCAATGTCAATTGCCATCTTCTGTCTTCTTGAACTCTGTTCCATTTTTGTCCTTTTCTCAATCCTCCTTATTCTCAGTTTTCTCATTCTCTTTCACTGCCTGTAACCCCCTGCATTATAGTGGCAATACCGCATTTCTTGTGATGAAATGATTAAAAAAATAGACATGAACTGTACTAGCCAAAGTGAAATTTGCAGTTTGGGCTCCTGAGAAATGTTGTGATATGAGTCAGCTTTGGAAACATGCTTTGTTGCTCACACTTTGAAAAGTAGGATAAACATATGAAAAAAGAAAATTAACATTTAAAAGCCGTGAATTAAAGAACAAAGGCAAAAGAAGGACTCATAGGGATTCAGCATCTGTTTACTTTTGGATAGAAATTATCTCACATTTCTTTGATATAAAGAAAACCTAAAATGCAGAAAAAGAAAAACGAGATATATTTTCATACCATTAAAGCATCATAACAAATGTTGGCAAAAGATTATTTTTAGAGATGATATTCAAACTGCCTTATGAATCCCCACCTCAAAAAAAAAAAAAAAAAAATATATTCTTAGTTTTTAAAGAACAAAAATATACTGAAACTGCTATTCCAAAAAGAAAAAGTTGATCACCCTTCCCCCCCAAAAATGTTTATTTTGCACAGTATCAAGTGGTTATTGCAGATTTTACCTCTACCAAAGATGGCGACAAAGATGAGGACGATAGTCCGATTAATGTAAATAATATAAAGAAGCCTTTACGTTTAAACCAGTCTTCTATCTTCTGAATGAGTTTGTATTTAACACTTTTTTTAATCAATTCACTTCAATCAAGGTGATAATGCCACTAAGACACAAGAGGTTGCTAAGAATGATAGAGAATGAGAAGACTTTAAAGTGGTGCTTCAGAATGTGTGCGTGCCAGTGCCCCTTTTGTGGGCTTTGTTATGTTTTAAAATGGGGCACTGGGAGTTTTATTTCAATGGTGGAGAGTGAACATACTCGGGGGGGGGAAGCATTTATCCTTTTTTTTTTTTTTTTTTTTTTTTCAAATTTCCAAAAATGATTCAATATTGGCTACAAAATGAAATTTCTGAAAGCTATCTAAAGCTGGGGAAGCTTTGATAACTTCATTGCTTTTCCAACTTCCTATATGGCTGAATCTAGTTTCAACACCATTACATAGCTTCTTAATAAACAAAGAAACTGTCTCCAAATTACAACAAAACAAGGAGATCTATGATTACTTCTAAACAGCATGGAACCTAGACTAAGAGCCTTAGCCAGTAAACACCAAAGTCATTCATTGCATTGAAAATATTGAGAGAAACTATCAAATAATTTTTTTTTCTAGCATTTTAATCATTGGTATTTATAATAGAAATGAAAACAATATTAAAATTATTTTTTGCACTAATACCTAAGTCTTATCTTGCTATGAAAGATGAATTCAGTATAATATTAATTTGACAGGAGGGGCCTTGACAAAATGTTTGTGCCCAAAGGGGGCGCTGGTTGAGAAATACTGCTTTCGAGGGAACTGCAAACTAAATCCTGGACAGGAAACAAGGGTTAACCTCTACTCTGGTTCAAAAGATCAGGAAGAAATATAAACCAAAATATCTGTTTTTATAGATTTAAAATTATAGCTTAAGCCAACTAAGCTACAATGCCTTCAATTCTGTTCTTGTGATATAGAAGGCTGCTTGGGGTGACAAGTTGTAGAATCATTATTCAGCCTAACTACTTTCCTTGGCTTCCTATGTTTCACACTACTTTTCAGTTAAATTGTGTATTCTATAACTAAAGAGCATTTGTTTTTTCATTCAAGTGATTCTTCAATATCTTGAACTTGTTAGAATTGCAAATCACAAGATTAAAGTTGTCTTGAATGGCCACTCTTCTAGATTATTTTACATTAATGCATGTGTTCTCCAAGGCTCTATCAGTGCTCCCTATATCTGGACATATGTTGTTCCTAATTTATATAAATTGCCTTCCTGATGTCATCAGTTCTCAGCTTGATATCTATTTACTCCTGTCTTAATAGTAAGTCTGATCAGTTCAATAAGGTCAAGTTGGCAGCTGATCTAAAAAAGAAAAAAGACCTACAATCCATTGTTAAATGTGGCAAGGAGTGGCTTATTAATTTTAATGCTTTCAAAATGAAACTGCTCTCTTTTAATCATCTGAGAGAACTCTTTTTACCTTCCATCACAATGGCTGATTCTAACCTCCAGGAATGACTCATTGTGCTTTCTCAGACTAAAGTTTTCCATGGATATGAGGTGAAAAGAATATATTGAATCAATTGCTAAGTCTGCAATTTACATATTTTTAAAACTACCATTCAGTCTTGCTTTGAATATTGTTGCCACATTTAGTCTGGTGCTCCTGAATTCAGAACAGCGTTCAACATCTCAGCCTAAACAGAATCTACTGGGACAGGGAAAAAGTTGTTTGGTGAAACTCAAAATCATTTTATTATTATATTTTGCTGGAACCAGGCCAACATATTACTGGGCAATGTTACATTGAACAATTGGCTCATTTGAATAAAGCATTGGATGAAAAATATCTTTATTTTTCTGTATGACAACACCTGCCTTCATGTTGAATTTTTATTTAAGAAAAGCCCCCAAATCTGTGGATATATATATATAATTTCTAATAATATGTAAAATTCATCAATAAAAGTGAAAGATAAACAGATTGTTTAAACTCACATTGTTTTTGCTGTTCATTTTGTAGAGTTGCTCCTGTGGGTCATCGGGTTCAGAGCTAGGTGAGGAAGCACCAGAAGATGGGGTTGATGGCAATTCAATATCCTTATTGTTTGTAGAATTATTTGTTGCCAAACCAGTCGGATAATAGAGGCGGAAGAATGAACCATTCTTATCTTGGCCATTTCTTTCTGTCATGATGTCCAAACAGCCAACGAGGTAAGAGCCGCTACCTTCGGGCAAGTGTTTCACACCTTTCATTTTCTTGTAGTTGCTGCCTTTTAAGCTAGAATCACAATCACACTGAACCTTTGTTTTCGAGAACGATGATGATGAGGAAATCTTTTTGCGATTCATTTTTTTTAATCTCTAGCTTAGTTTCAGGCTGCTTTTGACAGGATTTTTATAATGTTGCTCCTTTTTTTATATCACAGAAAAGAGAAAGAAAAGAAACAGGTGACTATTGGACTGTTAAAAAGAAAAAAAAAAAAAAAAAAAAAATGTGTTTAAAAAAGATTTTTAAAAAAATCAGAAATATAAAAAGAAAAAGTTTATGAATTAAAAAAATATATATTGCATTTTATTTCGGTTAAAAAAAAAGTTGCTTTTAATGTTTTAGTGAGTCTAAAATTTTATACCTGAACTTTTAAAATTTGGACTTACTCGAAACTATCAAAATAAAAATAAACAGCACACTAGTATAAAAATTTAAAAAAGAATACTTAAGTACCAGCTCTAATTTCTTTATTCCAAGCCTAAAAAAAAACGAGACAGTTTTTTTTTTTTTTCAACCTCTATTCTTATAGGTTTGTCTAACTTCTAGAGTTCACGCGCATACACACACAAAACTACTGATAACACTAACTAACAGGGACTGAATCCCACAAACTGGAATTGCATGGAAACTGGAAAGACTCCGAAACACAGATGGTGCAAAATGGATCAGTTAAACATCACGAGATTTCTTCTATATTTACTGAAGTAATTCAGTTGTTTGATTTTTTTTTTAATTTCTTGTGTCAGGTTTATATCGCGAGTGTGTAGTCTTTTTTAATTTATTTTTTTGCAGTGGGGCTCGCTGTTGAGATTTGACACTCCCCCAAAACACGGAAACCGAACTGATCATCACTTTGTTAGTTTCTGACGTTACATGTTTTTTCCCTCACATATCGAAATAAAACTGAAGAGTTATTTTTTATATATTTTTTTTTTTTTGCTTCAATTTTAAATTATATTCCATGGCGACATCTCTCCCTTGTCCCTTATTTTTTAAAAATGGGTTCGGTTCAATATGCTAAATTGTTGAAATTGATTTGTTTGTTTATCTTATTTCAAATTCAAAACCTGCAATTCCCTAAAATATAACAAATAAGTTATAATACGAAGGAAAAATAATATAAGATTTATTTAATTTACTAACGAGCTATAAAAATCCGACAAAAAAATTACGTAAATTTGAAAAATAAAGTCCAATTTTGTCCTATTCCACTTGTTGGTAGTAAAAATAAAAGTAAAAACAAACTGCATTCATTCAGTGAATAAGTTTTTTTTTTTTTTTTAGTTGACTTTTAGTTTATTTATGTTCAACAAAAAAAAAAAAAAAAATACGGACTGTAAAAACTTGGAAAATTCAAACACTTTTTTTCTGAGACTGAGTAGAAAAGACAACTTTTTTTCGTCTTTCGACATAAAAATTGACATAACTACAAACCTTTTCTAAATTATTTAATTTATTGTTATTGCGAGGTTGTGGGGAAAATGAAATATTCTAAATAAAAAAAAAAATAAAATAAAAAAATTACATGTCAGACTTTATGCTCTAAAAAAAATAAAAAAAGTTTGTAAATCTCCCGAAACCATGACATTTTTCCCGCATTTAAACAGCTGAACAATTAGTGATAGAATCTCTTTTTTTGCGTTAACAGTTACGTTAATGTCTCATCTCATTTTTAAGAATGTGTATTAAAAATCTTTTTTAATCCAATTAAAAATGCAATTTGAATAATCTGACAGGAAATATATTATATCAGAAGTTTTAAAATGATTTTTTTTGTTTTTTTTCACGTAATTAAAAAAATTCTGTCGGGAAATCGACATCAGTTCTGCGTTTAATAAACAAAACTTTATTATTGTTATTTTTTAACTTGCTACTAATAAATAAATAAACGTAGTTTAGTATGCTAAAAGGAATATTTAAAAATAAAGTATTTTAATTTATTTTTCATTTACATTACATTAAAAAAAAAAAAGATAACACTGCATAAAGTCACCGTTCTTAAGCAAAAATAATTTTGAGTTTGACATTTGCATATATAAAAAAAATCTAGCAATAAATTAAGAAGCTGCATTACAATATTCAATATACATCGATAAAGCACGAGAATTTTGCGAAATCCGCAACAAATATTTTAATAAATTACTTTTTAAGTCTCAACAACAGTTCGTTACAAAATTATCGGAAAAAAAATTAAATATTTTAAATTTTAATTTAAATCATTTTTTATATTTAAAAGAAAAAAAATCTGCATTCATTTTCTTCTTTTTAGCACTGTCCCAAAATAGTTGCTGTCAAAAGTGTTTAAAATACATTTAAAAAGACAAAACAAAATTAACCAAATAATAAATAAAAGTTAACTTTTCGTTTTTGTTAAGAAGAATGTGACTTTTTTTTTTAAAAAAAATTACGCTTTTTTTAACTGAAGTGAATGTAATTATCAGGAAAATTGTAATTTAATTCTTATATTTCTTTGTTTTTAAATCACTGACAACGTTGTCTCATTAAGATAATCGAAACTATTCTATTCGGCTTCTTAATGTTTATATATAATGTATAATTACATACCAGTGGATGTTGTTGCTGCCGTTCTCCTCCTGTCGAGACATCAGCCTTGATCAGTGACTGGCTCTCAAATGCTATCCCTATCACTTGCACTTCTAATTAGGTCCGAGTAAGAAGACTTGTTACGATTGCTTCTGTTGTTGTGATTATAACAGTTGTAGTAATAGTGATAATTCGAGAGTGAGAAAAAGGAAGAAAGAAAGAGTGAAAGAAGGAAACAGAGAAAGAGGGAGTAGTGTCTAAGAGATTAATCTAGAAGTGAGTAGTAGCCGCCATGTTGAATGTGACAATGAATGAAATAATGATGAATGAACTGTTACATCTTATTCTTATTTATTATTTATTTATTTTATTCCTTTTCGGTTCAGTAGAAGGAAAACTAATTTTTGGGAGATTATATATTAAGAAAAAAAGACCTGCAATACTTTTGAGATAGTTTAGTTTACTTTTTGCAAAAAAAAGTTAAAACAATTTATTTTATTTTTTGTTTCTTTTTTTAATTTATTTTCATTTTTAACAGTGCGACCAAAAAATAAAAAGAAAGAAAAAATTATACTAGTGATCTTGCTTACCAACCACTTTATGATTTACTCCAGCTGCTTTATAAAAAAAAAAATATCAGTTTTTGAAACAAATTAATTATTTCAATATTTACTGGGGTGATGTATGTCCAAAAAAGTAGGAAAAACACTTGTTTTTTTTCTTTCCCTGTCTTTATTTTTGAAAAGTGTTTCTAAATAAGAATATATTGTATTAATTGCGTAAATAAATCATAAAACAAAAATATTCATTTTTCTACAATGTTTTTTTTTTAAATACTGCTACTTTAACTTTACTGAACTTTGGAATTGGACTGGATGTCGTCTTTTTTGTGAGTCAGAAATGATACTGCAAAAACAGCAAAAAAGTATCACTCAATGAATCAGATGAGTTGAGTAATATTTGCACTGAAAGAAGAATAAAAGAAAAAGAAAAGTTGCCGATGAAGAAAAATAAAAGATATCGTAGAACAAGAAGGGTAAGGTCTCAAAAAGATCAAGTCAGTGAATCTAGTACAGAAAAAAAGTAAACAAACAGAAACGACCTGCTATATTGGCAAAGAGGAGAGGAAGTTTTGCATTTCCCACCGGCGCCAGTGTTCAAAATTAGACAAGACTAGTTAATTATGAAATATGCCGATTTTCAAAGCAGTAAGAAGCCTCTCACATTTTGACTTACACATCACAATACTGAATACTCCTATCCTACTGGCCTCATACCGCACTAGCTAAGCTGAATAATAAACATTAAACAATCAATTAAGGCTTTGCATTGAGACATGTGAGTTCTTAGGATTTCGAACTAAATTCTATAATTCGGCATATTCCGTTCACAATGCTTTAAGATCTTTTTTTTTTTTTCATATATAGTCCTTTTTTTATCATTTTATCCCAAGTAAGGCAATAATGCCACTAAGACGCAAGGGAGGCGGGTTACAGGTAGTGAAAGAAAAAAAAGTAGACTTTTTAAAAAGTAAAGTTTTTAGAAGGAACCGCGAAATCAATCCTAAACAAGAGATGATAAAACGAATGTGAATCGGGAGTCTTGTTGTAAATGTTGAAAACCTGAAACAATAAATTTAGTTATTATTTTTGATGTTAGTATTTTTGACAGTATTTTATTTTTTCTTTCTTTTTTTGTTTTAGCCTGTTTTTTAAAGAAAATTGAAATTATTTTTGACACTACTTATTTCTGTACAGTACAGTCTTTTCCGACTTTTTTGCATGAAAACAAAACTTTTTTTACCAAAAAGATTTCTTTAAAAAAAGAAAAAAAAAAGAACAAAACTCATAAAAAAACTGGACCACCCGTCGCGACACTTAGAATAGAAAGTAAAACATTGATTGATATCTTAAAGGGAGGATCATAAAAAATCGATTCCTAACTTTTACACACTATATTGGCCCATTGGGTAATGGACTTCTAAGAAATCTGAAAAGAGCTTTTTTTTTTCTTTGAAGTTAAATGTCGTTGATTTTTTTGTTTTTTTTAATAGAGCCTAAAGCTCGTCCGTATTAAAAGAAAATTAATTTCCGTGTATCGGCATTTTTAAAATATTGGCATGTTCACATCCACCGAAACGCTAGATGAAAAATAAATGTAAACAACAAAAAATTTCTTTAAAATCTGATGTAATGAATGTGCATACACCTGCCCCCCCCCCTCACAGTAATATGATTGGCTGGTGTCAGCCATAAATACAGACTGACCTGGAGGTACAGGGACTACACCTATTGTCTTCACCTATTGCCTACGAATATGAGAAGGACCAGTCCATTATGGTTACCTGCTAGATTGTCCTACTCAGTTACAGTAGTCAGCAATCACTTTGCTACTTCGAACAAATATATCCCTTTCTGAGACATATCAAAATCCAATATTTGTACAACATATGCGCTTTGAAGGCAGTTAGTAAGTTTAAGGGTTAACTAACTAGATTTTGTAAACTCAATGCTTTCTTTTTTAGCATAAAACATAACGAAAATAACATTTATTTGTGCCTGTGAATGGGGTGCGTTTTTCTATAGGCCTCCCTGGAAGGATGTGGTATTATGGTGTATGGAGAATCAATTGGTGACAAACAAGTCTTTATGGTGAATGCGAAAATTGAATGTGTGAATGGGTCATGAGTCGGATTACCTAGGTATAATTATTTACCCACTGCCCCAAGCAGCAAGATGTGGCACAAGGCTGAGTTCAAAGTGGAGTATCCAAGCCTGTAGGCTCAGGCAAAAATTCCCTAGAGACCACATAAAAACGAGGTCAGTGAGTCAGATATTAATTTTCTACTGTAAAACCTGCTTTTAAAAAGCATGTGAAAAATTAAATCAAAACAATAAAAGAAATACGGAACACTAGCAGTGCAATAGTCAATAAATTGGTATTTATGTTTAAGAATAAATTATCTTTAAATATATATATATAACCAGTATCTGTCTATATTTCTGAGATCAGGTATTATGTATGCTATTTACATTGTTCGGACTATCGTCCTCATCTTTGTTGCCATATTTATCACAACATTTTGGCCATTGTATGTTCCGGCCTTCATCAGGTGGTTGGAATGTCAAACTGAACCCTTTATTTCACTCACTGGGGTAGACTGTTCTAGTTCCACGTGCCATGCCTAATGGATGTCAGTTATCAGTTATCTCCTGTTAATTCCCCTCTCCAAGTTTTCCACTGCCTTAACCAGTTATTGAACTTGTTGTAGACCCGGTAGGGTGCAGTGCTGGTTTATTACAAAGTGGCCTTGTGCCAGACACCACACTAAACTACCGAGTCCACAAACAATGTATAAAAAAAAATGCGTGAATGAACAGTGAGAGGAAAGGGGTCAATCAACAAGTGCATAAATTATAAATATTAAAGAGATAGCCTGAATAGAATAACAAAGGCGTCTGGATGCAAAACATGTGTACTCTTTTATTAAATGGAAAAACAAGTAGATTATCTCGTGGTACGAGATCAGAGAAAATGTTCCGCGCCAAAATAGGAAAGCAAGATGAACAAGTCGGGAAAAAGGTTTTTATAAGATTCTGGAAAAAGGAACTTGTTAGCACGAGGTGTAGGTGCGCACAGATAGAAAGGAGTACTCACTGTGGATTTTTGGCGTTGTAAGTGTGTGTAGTATTTTTGTGTTTTTTATCTTTTTTTATGTTCAGGTTCAAGGTAGTGAGAAAGTTCAGTTGTCTCAGATTTTTGGGTCAGGCACTGAATTGACTGCTGAAAATTTTATCAGATTGATGTGGACGTCTAGCCAAAAGGACGAAGAGTTATTTGCAGTTAGTTGCACCGTCTTTGTGAAATTACTTCTGGCGAGTCAAGAGAGACGAAGAATTATTCATAGTGAGTTGCACCGTCTTGGTGAAGTTGTTTATGGCGAGCCAAGAGAGACGAAGAATATTTATTCGTCAGTAAGATATCCCTGTCTGTATTTAAGGTTGACTGACGAGGGATAAAAATAAGTTTGTGACTGTGTCGTGTGTCTCACACGTTTTCTAGCAGAAAACGGAGGTCATAAGATATCCCTGTCTGTATTATGGTTGACTGACAAGAGATAAAAATAAGTTACTTGTTGAATACGAAATTCTGCCCACGACTGTGTCGTGTGTCTCGCATGTTTTCTAGCAGAAAATGGAGAAGGTCTGACCTGCGGGTAACGTCAAGACGAGAAGAAGTCTTGGTAAAGTGTGAGGTCGCCATTGTTGAAATAAGATATTCCAGCCCGCATATGGGTTAAGGGCACGGAATAAATGAGTTGCCCGTCTAGTCAGGTTGAAGATCGGGAAGCAACTGGTTGACCTGCGGGTAACGTCAAGACAAGAAGAAGTCTTGGTAAAGTGTGAGGTCGACATTGTTGAGATAAGACATTCCGGCCTGTATATGGGTTAAGGGCACGGAATAAATGAGTTGCCCATCTAGTCAGGTTGAAGAACGGGAAGCAACTGGCTTGCAAACACTGTTCGTTTGAGACGCCAGGAAATGCGCAGGAAAAAATTCAAAATCTGTTCGGCTGAATTCATCAGCAGTAGTTATCGACCTTCCTCCTCCAGATTACTGCTACGTCTAGCTGTGAGAGAGAGGAAGGGGTGCAAACGCACGCACACATGCACAAGTGTGAAAGGAAGGGAGGAAAAACTCGCGCGCACGTAAAATGTACATGGAATTAATGTGTTAATTCCATAAACTCACACTGTCACTGGATCTAACCAATGCCTTTATCCACTGTGCCATGTGTCTTTAAGGAGAGGTGATTTAACAAAAAAATTTTCACTGTAACGAGGAGAACAAAGGAGAAAACTGTTCACTACTATGAAAATGTTTAGAGAGTGCTTTGATCAATCCACAATAAATTTGTGCCCTAACTCTTAACATTTCACCATTCCTGTCAGAACTTCTATTATCACAGGGTGGGATAGCTACTAACAAAAGTGATGGAATATATATATATATGTGTGTGTGTGTGTGGTTAGCTCTATCTCTGATATTGATCGCTTTCTAA